TGGCAATGGTGGCCTGCCTCTGTTATTGCAGACTCTCTCTGGAATGGCAGGTTGCCTCGGCAATGGCGGGTTGCCTCAGCAATGGCAGGCTGCCTCAGCGATGGTCAGACTGCCTCCATAGTGGTGGAGTGTCTCAGTAACGGCGGACGCCCCTCCCCCACAGAGCCGGACCATCCCGGGTTCAGCTGTGCTTGCTGTGAAGCTCTCAACCCAGAGAGTTTTCAATTACTGGTTTTGTGTGTGTGTGTGTGTTGGGGTGGGGGGAGCGTGGGACCAGTCAAGCCTGATCACCTGGCTCCCTGACTCAGAGTCTTTTGTTGTTGTTGTTGTTGAACGGTCGACTCTCCCAGTGTTCCAGTCGCCTGTTGAAAAGGCGCTGGGATATCCCCTGCCGTGACTCACTGAGCCAGTTGAAACAGCGGCGCTGAGATTCCTGGCGTTTTTTTTTTTTTTTTTTTTTTTTTTGGCCTAGGAATCTCCTGGCCTGGCTCGCTATTTCAGATGAATGGGCGACTCTGCCATCTCAGGGCTCCAATCACCAGATAAGAGGGCACCCAGACCAGTGTCTTTTGTACGGAGAACCGCTGCGCCAGGGCGTGGGCAAAGCAGCTGCGCTGGCCGAAACAGCCGCGGCTGGCGACCCATGGGGCTCCTCTGCCTGGGAATCTCCTGGTCTGTGGGCAATAAAAGTCCACCTGGAAATGCGGTGTCAACTCACCCTCTGCACTTTCATTGGAAGCTGCAATCCTGAGCTGTTCCTAGTCGGCCATCTTCTCCAAAGATTCTTTCATCTATGTCTATTAAAAAGATTAACCTAAAATTATTGGGAATTTTTGGTGAAATACTTATGAACCTTTGGTATAAAAAATAAACAGGCCAGGCACAGTGGCTCATTCCTGTAATTCCAACACTTTGGGAGGCCAAAGCAGGTGGATCACCCAAGATAAGGAGTTTGAGACCAGCTTATGGTTAAACCCTGTCTCTACTAAAAATACAAAAATTAGCAGGACATGGTGGTGCATGCCTGCAATCCCAGCTACTTAGGAGGCTGAGGCACAGGTATCACTTAAACCCAGGAGACAGGTTGCAATGAGCAGAGATCACGCCACTGCACTGCAGCCTGTGTAATAGAGAAAGACTCTGTCTCAAATAATAAATAAATAATATTTTAAAAATAAAAAATTAAGAAGTGCTTCCCATTTTTTTATTTGCTCAAAGATTTTGTGTATTTACCAACATATTTTCTTAAACGTTTGGTGTTATTGCTTCTTAAATATTTGGTGGAATTCATATGTGAAGTTAATTGTACATGGAGAGTATACTTTGGGGAGGTTTTTAATTATTGTTCATATTTCTAACTTAGAATTATTTGGTATCTTAACAATTTGGGGTGAGGAGTTGTTAGCTGAGTTTTTACAGGACCATTTCATTCCTTCTAAATTTTCCGGTGTATTGGAATACATTTATTCATAATACCTTATGGTATTTTTAACATTTGTAGGATTAATAATGAAGTCTCCATTTTCATATATCTAATTTTTCCAACTGTATTTTTTTACCCAGTCTTTCAAGAGGTTTACCAATCTTATTAGTCCTTTCAAAAAATAAGCTTTCAACTTTGTTGATTTTTATTGTGTGTTTGTTTTTTAATTTTCTATTTTTTTTTCTACATTCTACATTTGGGGGATTAATTTTCTAACATCACAAGATGAATCCTTAGATTATTTGTCACTCTCTATTCTTTTCATGACTAAACTGTATCTCAGTGTGGTTGGAGGGATTGGTATTTTTTCTGTTTAGATGCTCTAAGCTTCTAATATCTGTGATTTGATATCTCATTACTTTTGGAAAGTTCTCATTCTTGGGAAGACAAAACTTCCGGAAAAAGTTAGGACAATTTGGAAGATAGAATTGTCCCTCGGAGACTTGAGATGTAGAAAGAAGGAAACGAACAGCACTAAGTTTAGAGTCCTGCAGAATCAAAAGCCTATCAGGAAATCAGAAAACTGTATCCACACTACCACCACCACCCTACCCCACTCACTCCCCAGCAAAAAGACATTTACATGTAAAGAAACTATATTTCACTCTACCAACAGAAATAGCTTTCATAAACCAAGTAACCATGTAATCATCCCAAACCATTATCACCATTCCATAGAATTACTATTTTTGATGATCCATGAAAATTCACAGTTCACACAGAAATCATTTTCTTTCTATTCTGTGTTTAGGTTGTTTAATTATGAATACACGTTCAATCTTATCAGATGTTTTTTCCTGCTTCTATTGAACTTTTCTTCTATGTTCTCTTGAATTACATATTTATTCTATTGAACTATGTGATGAATTATACAGACTGAATTGGTAATGGTATGTGATAACAAACCAAATAATAAATTAAAGCAAGCAGCATTATGATATATGAAATTGTATATACTGTGGGTTAAGTTCCCAGAAAGAGGTAGGCAACCTTTATACAAAGCTAGTATGAGAGGAGGAGGAAAAATAGAAATAAAAACTGTACATGACAAAATAACCTCTAAAAAAAACACAAAGGCAACATACTTACAAACACACCTGTGGTGGGGGGCAGAAAATGTGCGAAAAATGTTAACAATGTTGGTACTATACAGAGGGAATGGTGTTTATTACTATTATTTCAATTTCACTTTATGTTTGAGAATTTTAGAAATAATATAAGGAGAAAAACAAATTTCAGAAGATTATATGCAGAGTATGATAGTTTTTATAAAGCTCAAATTTAAAAATTAAACAAAATATTGTTAATGCACACATGTAATGATAAATTTGTATGTAAATAACACAGGAAATCAGAACATAATTCATTATAGCAGTTACCTGTGGAGGATAGAAAAATGAAGGAGCACATAAGTATTATGTTTACGTTATTCATCAACTTTTCGTTTTGAGGCTTGGCTTATAGATGCCATTATGATATAATTAAAATTTATACATAGGCCAAGCATAGTACTCACGCCTGTAATCCTAGCACTTTGGGAGGCTGAGGCAGGCAGATCACTTGAGGTCAGGAATTTGAGACCACCCTGACCAAAGTGGCAAAGCCCCGTTGCTACTAAAAAAATACAAAAATAAGCCATGTGGTTGTGCGCACCTGTAGTCCCAGCTGCTCAGGAGGCTGAAGCAGGAGAATTGCTTTAACCCAGGAGGTGGAGGTTGCAGTGAGCCAAGATCTTGCCACTGCACTCCAGCCTGGTAGGTATAATGGTCTATCCAGAAATCTGAAAGAATCCCCTAATAAACTATTAGATTTTATAATAATTAATGTGACTGCTGAATTCAGAATAAATACAAACATAAAATTCAATTGCATTTCTATACATTAATGACAAAGATTTCTAACATGTGATTCTGAAAACCAGAGAGTTCAATAGCCAAAATGAACAGTTTGAGCAACAAAATAAAGCAGTATTGGATTATAACCCAAAATATAAAAAATAACATCTGTGAGTCTATTCTGATATATTAAAATAATTCTGATATTTAGTTTGACATTTATTTAAATGATGTTCAACTATATTCAAATTTGAATATATAATTTCCAGTTACATAGGGGGGAAAAGGAAAAACTTCATAGCAGAGAAAGCTGACAACCACCTGAATCAAGTAATCGAGAGCAACATCAGCAGTAAATAATTCACTTTGATGGTATGGAGTGCTCCTTTTAGACGTGATAAAGATTGAATTTTATCTCTGCGATATTCCTCCCGAAAACCCATAACCTCATTCTAATCATGAAAAAAAAAAAACCTTATATAGACCCCAATTGAGGATCTTGCAGTTTGTATTCTACAAAATACCTGACCAGTACTCATCAAAAATGTCAATGTCATTAAAATAAGAAAAATCCAAGAAACTATCACAGCCAAAAGGAACCTAAAAGACATGGTTCTTAAATGTAATGTAGTATCTGGATTGGAGCATGGAACAGAAAAGGAACATTATATTTTAAAAACTAGGAAATCTGAATAAATTAGACACATTAGTTATTAACAATGTATTAACATTTATTGTAGCATGTATCATACTAGTGTATGTTATTAGTAAGAGACACTGGGTACAGGCTATATGGAGCTCTCTGTATACTCTTTGCAATTTTTCTATAAATCTAAAACTATTATAAATCTAAAACTGTTCTAAAATATCTTTTTAAAAAAAAAAAAAGGAGAGTTTATAATTTTCTTCTAACAGGAATTTCTTTTTTTTTTTTTTTTTTGAGACAGAGTCTTGCTCTGTCGCCTAATCTGTAGTACAATGACATAATCTCAGCTCACTGCAACCTCCATCTCCCAGGTTCAAGCGATCCTTCTGCCTCAGCCTCCCAAGTAGCTGGGATTACAGGTGTCCGCCACCACACCCAGCTAATTTTTGTGTTTTTAGTAGGGAGACGAGGTTTCACCATGTTGGCCAGGCTAGTCTTGAACTCCTTACCTCAGGTGATCTGCCCGCCTCAGCCTCCCAAAATGCTGGGATTACAGGTGTGAACCACTGTGCCCAGCCTATAATTTTGTTGTAAGAGGAATTCTGTGCCCTTTTTTGTTATTAACATTCCAAGGAAGTTTTACAAATGTCAGCTAATGGTCAGTTTTACACTGTTTAAAGGCGAGTGTATCCTCTTTTTAAAGCTTTGTTCTAATTAGAAAAATCTCTCTGAAAGGATTTGGGATATATTGTTCCTAGCATGCAACAATTATTAGATATATAAATAAATATATTGATATGCATATGCTTACTTAATTACTGTGAATTATGTTAAGGCCGGCCTTCAAAATTTATTGTTCAAATGGAATTTTTGTAGTGGGATAATTACTTCTCACACTAAATCTCTTGTCTCAATTTAGTCTAATATTTGATTTTACCCTATATTTTTTCTTTGTTGTTTTCCGAGTTCTTGTTCATGGTATCAATGTTACACACTAAGATTAGCTTTCTTGCATTTTCTTTTTTGCCAATTTCAGATACTGAGAAGAGTATTTATTCTTTGGACGAGTTTATGATTGGGAAGTATTTGATTGTCATGAGTACTACAGGCTTTATTTTCCTTCTCTTGATTTTCCTTTGGGAGACTACTTCATGGAGACTAAGAACATTCCTCAATCAACACATTTTCTTTCGTATCTATAAGCGATACAGGAAGGTAAATACTCAAGTGTGGAGTAATTTAAGAACATCTATGAGAAGTGAAAATTAGGTCTGTATGTATTTGTATACCATTATCTCAGCCAGCCTGGTGGCATGCTCCTGTGATCCCAGCTACTCAGGAAGCTTGGCAGTTATTTGATAAAAGAAAAATCTGTGTCTACAAGAATGTCTTTTCTTAACCTATATTGAGATAGAATTATCTACAGTAAACTGCATTCATTTTCTTGACCATTTCAAAGGTCCAGATTTTGTCTTTATTAATTTTCTCTAATGCTAACTATTTTCTGTTTCACTGATAATCTAATTCTTTTTCATGGCTGAATAGTACTCCATTGTGTGTATGTACCATATTTTATTTACCTATTCATTCACTGATGGATAGTTAAGTTGCTTTCAAATCTTGGCTATTGTGAATAGCATGCCAGCTATGAGTCTGTCACATATGTCTTTTATTATGTTGAGGTATGTTCCTTCTATACTCATTTTTTTAGGCTTTTTATCATGACTGGATGTTAAATTTTATCAAATGCTTTCTCAGCATCAATAGAAATGATTATATAGTTTTTGTCCTTCATTATGTTGATAATGATGTAACACATTGATTGGTTTATATATCTTAATCCATCCTTGCATCCCTGAGAGAAATCTTACTTGGATGTGATGAAAGGATCTTTGTAATGCATTGTTGAATTCAGTTTGATAGTATTTTATTGAGAATTTTTACATCAGTATTCAGCAGGGATATTGGTCTGTGTCTTCTTTCTTTTGTGTATCTTTGTTTGATTTTGATTTTTGCCTTAATTTCATTGTTTACCCAAAAGTCATTCTGGAGCAGATTATTTAATTCTCATGTAATTGTAAGGTTTTGAGAAATCATCTTAGTATTGATATCTATTTTTATTGCACTGTAGTCCAAGAGTGTGGTTGGTATGATTTTGGGGTTTTTTATAATGTGTGAATCACTGTTTTATAGACTGATTGTGCGGTCAGTTTTAGAGCATGTGCCATGGGCAGATAAGAAGAATGTATATTCTATTTTCGCATGGACAGTTCTGTGGATGTCAGTTAGGTTCATTTGGTCAAGTGTTGAGTTCAGGTCCTGAATATCTTTGTTAGTTTTTTGCCTCCATGATTTGTCTAATACTGTCAGTGAGGTGTTAAAGTCTCCAACAATTATTGGGTGGTTATTTAAGCCTCTTTGTAGGTCTCCAAGAATTTGCTTTACAAATCTGGGGGCTCCTGTGTTGGGTGCATACATATTTAGGAGAGTTAGGTCTTCCTGTTGAATTGAACTCTACCATTATGTAAGGCCCTTCTTTGTCTTTTTTGATCTTTGTTAGTTTAAAATCTGTTTTGTGTGAAATTAGAGTAGCCTTTGCTTTTTTTCTGTTTTTCCATTTGCTTGGTAGATTTTTCTCCATCTCTTTAAGTCTACGAGTATCATTGCATGTGAGACAGATTTCTTGAGTATAGCATACAGTTGAGTCTTGCTTCTTTATCCAACTTGCTACACTATGCCCTTTAATTGGGGTATTTAGTTCATTTATATTCAAGGTTAATACTGATATATGCGAACTTGATCCTGTCATTGTGTCATTGGCTGCTTGTTATGTAGACTTGATTGTGAAGTAGCTTTATCGTGTCAATGGTCTTTTACTTAAGTGTGTTTTTGTGATAGTAACAGTCTTTCCTTTCCATATTTTTTATTTTATTTTTTTTTATTGCATTTTAGGTTTTGGGGTACATGTGAAGAACATGCAAGATTGTTGCATAGGTACACACATTGCTGCCCTCCTCCCCATCACCTATATCTGATGTTTCTCCCCATGCTATCTCTCCCCAACTCCCCACCCCCTGCTGTCCCTCCCCTATTTCCCCCCACAGACCCCAGTGTGTGATGCTCCCCTCCCTGTGTCCCTGTGTTCTCATTGTTCAATACCCGCTTATGAGTGAGAACATGCGGTGTTTGATTTTCTGTTCTTGTGTCAGTTTGCTGAGAATGGTAGTTTCCAGGTTCATCCATTGTCCCTACAAAGGACATGAACTCATCGTTTTTGATGGCCGCGTAATATTCCATGGTGTATATGTGCCACATTTTTCTTGTCCAGTCTATCATCGATGGGCATTTGGGTTGGTTCCAGGTCTTTGCTATTGTAAACTGTGCTGCAATGAACATTCGTGTGCATGTGTCCATATAGCAGAATGTTTATAATCCTTTGGATATTTACCCAGTAATGGGATTGCTGGGTCAAATGGAATTTCTATTGCTAGGTTCTTGAGGAATTGCCACTGTCTTCCACAATGGTTGAACTAATTTACACTCCCACCAATAGTGTAAAAGTGTTCCTATTTCTCCACATCCTCTCCAGCATCTGTTGTCTCCAGATTATTTAATGATCGCCATTCTAACTGGTGTGAGTTGGTACCTCGATGTAGTTTTGATTTGCATTCCTCTAATGACCAGTGATGATGAGCATTTTTTCATGTTTGTTGGCCTCATGTATGTCTTCTTTTGTAAAGTGTCTGTTCGTTTCCTTTACCCACTTTTGAATGGGCTTATTTGTTTTTTTCTTGTAAATCTGTTTCAGTTCTTTGTAGATTCTGGATATCAGCCCTTTGTCAGATAGATAGACTGCAAAAATTTTTTCCCATTCTGTTGGTTGCCGATTCACTCTAATGACTATTTCTTTTGCCGTGCAGAAGCTGTGGAGTTTGATTAGGTCCCATTTGTCTATTTTGGCTTTTGTTGCCAATGCTTTGGTGTTTTGGTCATGAAATCCTTGCCTATGCCTATATTCTGAATGGTTTTGCCTAGATTTTCTTCTAGGGTTTTTATGGTGTAAGGTCTTATGTTTAAGTCTTTAATCCATCTGGAGTTAATTTTAGTGTAAGGTGTCAGGAAGGGGTCCAGTTTCTGATTTCTGCACATGGCTAGCCAGTTTTCCCAACATCATTTATTAAACAGGGAATCCTTTCTCCATTGCTTGTTTCCTTTCCATATTAAGCACTCCCTTCAGGACCTCTTGTGAGGCCGGTCTGGTAGTAATGAATTCCCTTAGCTTTTGCTTGTCTGAAAAAGGATCTTATTTCTCTTTTGCTTATGAAACTTAGGCTGGATATAAAATTCATGATTGGAATTTCTTTTCTTTTCAAATGCTAAATATAGGCCCCCAATGTCTTCTTGTTTGTAGGGTTTCTGCTGAAAGATCCCCTGTTAGCCTAATGGGGTTCCCTTTGTACATGATCTGCTCCTTCTCTCTAGCTGCCTTTGACATTTTTTCTTTCATTTGACCTTGAGAAATCTGATGGCTATGTGTCTTGAGGATGGTTATCTTGCATAGTGTCTCACAAGGATTCTTTGCTTTTCCTGAATTTGAATGTTGGTGTTTCTAGTGAGGTATGGGAAATTTTCATGGATGATATCCTGAAATATGCATTCCAAGTTGCATGCTTTCTCTCCCTTTTTCAGTGACACCAATGAGTCATAGATTTTGTTTCATTACATAATTCTGTATTTCTCAGATTTGGTTCATTCTTCTTTAGTGTTTCTTCTTCATTTTGTCTGACTGAGTTATTTCAGAGAACTGGTCTTAAGCTGAGCTTCTTCCCTCAGTTTGCTTGATTCTACTGTTAATCCTTGCAGTCGTATTATAGAATTCTTGAATTGAGTTTTTCAGCTCTGTAAGACGTTTGGTTCTTTCTTAAAATGTCAACTTCATCTTTCATCTCTTGTATTGTTTTATTATATTCCTTAGAGTCCTTGGATTGGGTTTTTGCTTTCTCCTAAATTTTGGTCATCTTTGTTCCTATCCATACTTTGAATTCTATTTCTGTCATTCAGCCATTTCAGCCTGGGTATGAACCATCACTGCTGGGGATCTAGTGTGGTTGTTTAGAGATAAAAAGACACTCTGGCTCTTTGAGTTGCCAGAGTTCTTGCACTGGTTCTTCCTCATCTGTGTGAGCATGTTTCTTCAGTATTTGAAATTGCTGTCCTTTGTATGGGTTGGTTTTTTGTTTTTTTGTTTTTTGGCATTTATCTTTTTTTTTTTATGCCCTTGGAGATTTAATTGTGGTATAAGGTGGATTCAGTTGACAACTTTGTTTCTGGAAGACTTTAGTGGACTAAGGCTCAGCTCAGCACTCTTGGACTGCATGCTCTATCTCTGCGGGGCTGGTACTGGGTCCACAGCTTTGTTTCTCTGGCCCCTGGAAGTCAGGAATCTGCTGCACTGAAGGGGCTGCATTGGTCCCAGTTCACTGGCCAGAACACTCCGATGAGTGACATCAGCAAAAGCACTTCGCTGGGGCAGTGGCAGCGGGATCTATGCTTGCTTGCTTGCTTGCCTGTGCCAGCAGCCACAGCAGTACACTAAGATATTGAATTGGGGTATTGTCAGAAGCAAGGCTGCCACATTCCTGCCTGAGCTTGCACCATTTACAGTTGTGGCGCGGCAAGGGCGGGGTGCTGGCAGTGGAGGCTGGGGTGAGGGGTTCCAGTATTGGTGCTCACACTCATGCTGGCAACAGTGGTGGCAGGGGTGAGGCACTGGTGAGCATGGCACTGTTGGCCTCCATGGTGCGTGTGCTCCCAAAGGCAGCATTGGCAGCGCAGGGTGGATGAGGCCACCAACATCCCTGTGCACATTTACAGCAGTGGTGGTGGTGGCACCAGGGCATGGGGTTGCCGGTGTCTGTGTGCACATTCACGCTGGTGGCGGTGTCAGTGTTGGGGGTGTTGAATATCTTTTTACATACCTCTTGGCCATTCATAGGTCTTGTTTCAAGAAATGTCTTTTCAGGTCTTTTGCCATTTTAAAATCAGGTTATTTGTTTTCTTACTATTCTGTTGTTGCAATTGCTTATATATTTTGGATATTAATCCCTTATTAGATTTATGGTTTTGCAAATATATTCTCCCAATCCGTAGTTTGTCTCTTCACTCTATTAATTGTTTCTTTTACTCTGCTGAAACTTTTTAGTTTCATGCAATTT